TACTTTTTTTTTTTTTTTTTTTTTTTAATTCCACTGCCCAATGTGATTTCCCTTAATTTATCCCTTCCCTTATAATGTCTGAAGAACAATGATAGCTTCAGTCACTCATTCAGTCACTCAGTCTTTACATCCAGTTTTGCACCTAGTTTTTCTCAGCTCACACAGGGAATGTGTCCCTCTGTGTTTTACAGATTCTTTCATTCTTTTATATATAATTAGTCAGTAAGGGAGTTTTGGTACTTTAAATCAAGATATATAAAGACTGTTTATGGGTTACATTGTGAAGTGCATATGCCAAAACGTGTAGCACAAGGAAAAGTTATAATTTAAATTACCCTATTTTTGAGATTATAATTTAGCAAATTCTGATAAAAAGTTACAAAACATTTACCTTCCTGAATAAATAATACAGCATCCTTCCTTTAAAATACACTGATCGGCCTAAAACAAGCATTATAAGAACAAGAACACTACTTGCTCTAGCCCTTAAATAACTAAAAAACTTTTAATCACAACGAAAATTATCTGCATAACCACACAACTCAATAAAAGCACAACAATGCCCTAGACAGAATCCTTTCATTGTTTACACTTGTAATCTCACCCTAGTGTATTTTTTTGTTTCTTTGTTTGTTTTTCTGTCAGCTTATTCCTCAACAGTTACTCATTTCCTACTCACTACATTGACATAAAGACATACAAGAATTTTCACTTCACCAAAACCCCTTATAGTCATTTTTTTCTGTGCTTATGAGTATAAAAATAAAAATAACAGGAGCAATTGTCAGATGGAATTCTTTTTTTCTTTCTTTTTCTTTCTTTCTTTCTTTCTTTCTTTCTTTCTTTCTTTCTTTCTTTCTTTCTTTCTTTCTTTCTTTCTTTCTTTCTTTCTTTCTTTCTTTCTTTCTTTCTTCTTTCTTTCTTTCTTTTCTGTCTTTCTGTCTTTCTCTGATCTACTTAACAAATATTTTTGATCTACTAGGTACCAAATAAAAAAGAGTATTAGTTGGAGTATTATGCTCTCAGGTTTGGGTATATTTTAATTAAACATAAATAAATACTATATAATATTTTATATTATATAACAGAGAACTATATAATATTTTATATTATATAGTAGAATAACATAAAATAATATCCAGGCAGCAAGTTAGAATAGCTGTTTACCTCATTGGGATTGCTTGGGATATTCTAATGCTGGGAAGTGTGAATGAACTTTATGCAGGAATCAACCACAAACATCTACAAGGTATATGCTCCAACTACTTGGGCACATTCATTACTTACGACAACAAAATAAACAACCAAACTTGTAAATGGTAATGTTTGATAAGATAGGGGCACATAAGAAAGACAAAAGACCACAAAGTGGTCCTTGCAGAGGAGGATATACATTTTATACTTTACATTTTGGATCAGTATTGTAGAATTATGTGTGGAGAATAATCTTCAAGAAGAAGATTGGAAGTATCAGCTTTTACAAATGTCCGTTTTTCAGAGGCTCAGTTTATTCTTAGTACCACAGAAGATAGGTTACATAATGGATTTTTGGAGAACTGTTGCATTCAGACTTACGGCTACCCAGAAAGGATATGTATGGGTTATGATCAGTTAAATTGGCATTTAAAATAAATTGCTAATAATGACATAAATAAATAAATAAAAATAGAAATGAAAATAGAAATAAAAATAAAAATAAATAAAAATAAAACTTGTTTTTTCTTGTCAGAAAGTCCCAAGAAAAGTAGTATATTCTAAGACTTATGGAACTCAAGATTAATAAAAAAATAGTGCATTTTTTTTTTCTTTAATTTGTATTTTTACTCAGACCTCTTTTAAATAATTTCTGTCATATTCAAACAACATAAATCTTTGAAGACATGGAGATTTTAAAATATTTATGCAATCATGTTTTCATGTTTTGTGAATGACATACCTTTCTTTTTGAAAATGAAGACCAGATAAAGCTTTTGAGACAAGAAGGCATTTAGGGGCATATGACAAAGAGTCATATATTTTTAGTAGAAGTTATATGAGATTCCTTTTTTTTTTTTTTTTTTTTTGGACTTGGTTTGGAATAGGAATATTAGTGACTGATGATTACTTATTTGTTTGTAATTTTACTGAGATACTCCAAATATGTTATTGTGTTTACAGGAATTGTAAATTATAACTGCAATATAATTTCAGCTTGATTGCATGGTGTGTGTATTTTCCCTTCTTTGGAAGTTTTTTTTTCCTAAGAGAGAAATAATAAATCAAGCGTTTTTTGTTTATTTGTTTGTTTCCCATAATTTGAAGCAATACTGCAATATTACAGAATTAATGAGATGCTTGTTAATCCATAACAGTCAGTCATCAATTAATCTTGACCAATGCAAGATAAGAATCTCATTATTTATGTTGATGTCTCCATAAGAAAACCAAGGAAGGTATAATAACAGGATTGGAAGACATCAAGCATTTCATTGGTAAATACTGTATGTTTATGATTAAGCAAAAATTTAAATGGGAAATGATCTATCAGTTCACTCTTGCTAAAATTACATACAGTTAAGATTCTGCTAGTGTTTTAACTGTATTTATAGGGTAAACTACCTATTTCTAATGTTGAAATTAAGCTTTATCATCTCAGTGATAAATTTGTGGAAAAAAGTGAAAGCTTTCACTGAAGTCCTGATATTACTTCCATCAGAACCAACAGCAAATTTATTTCTTCTTAAGGTTTATAGGACTGTGACGTTAATGAACGAAATGGTATGAAATTCTTAATTTGACCTTCCTTCCACTGAATTGCATCAGGATTGTTCATGGGTTTGGCAACAAATTAGGCCCATGTGGAATGCTTTGGAAAATCATACTATTCCTCCATCATTCATCTAGTTACCTGTGTCTGAAGGTTCAATAAGCTAGCATAAAAAGGGTGAAAACTACCTAAATTCTTTTTAAGCTACCTTAGCATCTTATTTTCCAATGATACGAGAAAACAATTTACCATTTAAAAGAAAAGAAATAATGTTTGATCCAAGGTCACTGGACTGGTAAAGAGGTAAACATATATATAAAATAATAATGGTATATAGACTAATCTGGAGACAGAAACTTTAAGTTATTGCTTTAGCTGTTAGAAATAAAACTTTCTAACAGAAATTAGAAAATCTGTTGGGTCAGATTCTTGGATATGCTCGCATGTTGTAACTCAGCTCTAATTGCCTAAAAGATGTGTAAGCCCCTGATCCACAAGAGGGTCGGGCATGACAGTCAATGCAGTACTTTACTCTTGTAACATTTATTTTACTTGTAAGTAAAAATGTTCATGCAAATAGTATAGAAAGAATATCACTTTTATACATTAATAGTTATTTTACCTATGCAACAGGTAACCTAATTTATTGTCCCCTTGTTCCTCACGTGTGCAGTAGTTACAAAACACTACTGCTTTGATTGGTAGAGTGAAAATATCTTACTGAAAATCTGGCAAGGGATAGTTAGATTTTGAGTTAGATTTTGAGTCAAACTTGTAAGGATCTGAGCAATCTGAAAGACAACACAGCAACAGAAAAGAGCTTTTCTCCAGAAAGCTGCTGAGTTGATTTGTCATGGACTTCTAAGAGTATGTCAACACTAAACTTTTGTCAGATTAATAAGCAAGCAGATTAAAAACAAAACCTACAAACAAAAGCAATCTGAATCATTGACTGATGTAAATGTACCCCAGGTACACTGCAAAGTATATATTTTACTTCTCTTCCTTTGCTATAAATTTTTTCTCCTATTCAAAATATGTTTTTTTTGTTTTTTTTTTTTTGTTTTTTGTTTTTTGTTTTTTATTAAAAGTCTAACTTTTTACTGGAATGTGGAGAAATAACAGAGAACACTTTAAATTTTGCTGTTAATACTCACAATTTCCCAACACTAGTGAGTCACTGGTTTTTATAACAATTCTCTTTTAATTAATTAATTAATTAATTAATTAATAGCAACCTAGAAATATGCCTTTCATGCTTTAAACTCATTTCCAAGGTTTACTAATAAGATGGAAAATCAAGCTCCAAGTCTCTTTTATTGAAGTTGTGGTAGTTTTACTCGGGTGGGCGGCCGATCTCCACCACAACCGTTCTCTCACTCCCCCTCCTCCATGAGCAACGGGGAGAACTTTTTTGCTTTAAAAGAATTTAAAGGTGCTCTGTGCATTGTTTAAATAATTCATGTCTTAACAAGAAAAAAATCCTATGACATGAAAATAAAGCAAAAACTGACTTATCCCATTTTTGCTTTTGATTTCAGTTCTTTAACTGAATCTGGAAAATATATATAATTATTTTTAAAAACAACAAAAAGTATTATTTGAAGAAAGACCATAAATTGCAGTAATTTAAAATCTAGTATCTTTTGACATTCAATTTTGTCAGATTATGTCTCTTCTTCATACACAAGGCATTGATATAAAAGTTCAATGACAGTTTTCCATAGCCTCTCTTCATTACACTGCCACTGTTGTATTAAACCATTTTCTCAAAACTTTTTTGACTCAAAAAGCACTACATGCAGCGTTCTTTAGTAAAATATTCCTCATTTCTTCCAGTCTTATATTTGTTGTTTATTATTCAGCTGTTATGGAACTAGTGTGATTTTAGAAAGTTCAAGCCTTCACCGATGACTGCACACTGGAAATGGTTTAGTTTTTACCTAAAAGCAACTCCTTTTTTCAAACTCTGTGCAGCGCTCATGATGTGGTTTAACCCGGCCAGCAGCTAAACACCACACAGCCGTTCACTCACCCTCCCCCTCCCTCTCTGGGACGGGGGAGAGAAATGGAAAGTGAAGCCCGTGAGTTGAGATAAAGACAGTTTAATAAGACAGGAAAATGATAATAACAATAATAACAATAACAATAACAATAACAATAATAATAATAATAATAATAATAATACAATGGTGATAATAGTACTACTACTACTAATATGTACAAACAAGTGATGCACAATGCAATTGCTCACCACCCGATGACCGATGCCCAGCCTAACCCAGAGCAGTCCGGCCCCCTCCCCCCGGCTAGCCACCCCTATATATTGTTTAGCATGACCCCAGATGGTATGGAATACCCCTTTGGCTAGTTTGGGTCACCTGTCCTGGGTCTGTCCCCTCCCAGCTCTTACTGCACCCCCAGCCTGCCTGTTGGCAGGACAGAGCAAAAGGCTGAGATGTCCTTGGCTTGGTATAAGCACTGCTCTGCAACAATTAAAGCATCGGGGTGTTATCAGCACTCTTCTCATCCCAAGCCAAAACACAGCATTCCACCAGCTACTAGGAAGAAAATTCTGTTCTAACTGAAACCAGGACAGCTCATCTTCTAGAATTCTGTTTACTCTTATTAGAAGATTCAAAGAATTAAAAAATCCATAACTCTTCAAAAGCATTTTAATATTTGAATAATATTAAATAAACATAAATAAAAATAATTAACTTGGTATTTTTTATTCCAAAATTTCAGACTACATTTTTTAGTAATCTACTTTTAGAAACTAATGTAGTGTAATGTAATGTGTAAGTAATATTTCCTGACTGAGTTTTATAAATATCTTATGTGAGATTGAAAAAATAAGGCCTGTTACTTCCTTCAAGCTGCAGATGTGGAAACATATTGCATACAATGAAATGGATTAATATCCCTTTATTTAATATTTGAGAATTTTCCCTAGGGTATGTATGCTAAACTTAACAGAAATATGATTGGCTTTATGTTACAACTTTGTTCAACAGATTTTGGAAGGTGTTTGAAAAGCCTCCCCCAAAACCAGTTTATTAAAGAAAGTATTAAAGAGCAGATGAATTTTGAGACTACTGTCTGTAAAACAATGAAGAAGTGGTTGTATATAATATTCCCAGTTCTAAAAATAGAGAATGCCATGGCAACATTATCTGTAAATGTTTGTATAGGAAAAAAAAAAAAAAAAAAAAAAAAGCATTTAATTGTGTAACTGTGAAAGGTAAATTAACATTTTTTATATGTATATAAACCATTATAAGGAATACATCTTGCTATTTCAGACTTTTGGAAAAAATACTTGTCAACTGATGTTGGGAAAAGGTTTAGTACTGAATTTCTCACACTGCAATGCCAGTGTACCATACAATCATTTCCTCCATTACAACATACGACAGTAAAGAACTTTGCACTTACATCACAAATGTATCTCTGTTTTATTAAAAACACTTGGGAAAGCAGCATGTGAAGTATGTGTGTCTTGCATCATCAAAGCCTCTCAATACCTGTATTATTATTTTTTTTTCTTTCAGTAACATGGTAATGAAAGCATAACCAAAATGTCAAAGGAAGTGATTAGACAGTTCAGCAGATGACCTCCATGATGGTCAGGAGTTCTCTTCTTCCTTTTGAAGAGAGGAATAGGGAGCTGGGCTTGTTTAGCCTGGAGAAGAGAAGTATCTTGGCTCTGCCAAAAATTCTGAAGACAAGCAGGCAGCCCAGGGAGGTTGTCTAATCTCTCTGCATCCCTGGAGGTTTTCTAGACCCAGTCAGATACAACCCTGAACTGCCTGGTCTGACCTCAGAGCTTAAAGCATGCAGTTGTACAAGAGATATCCTAAGGTCCCTTTCAACATGAACAAGTCTATGCTTCTGCTTCTTTCATGCTATATTATTGAAAGATAACTTTTGCTTTAGCTTAATAGCTCACATTGAGTTGGTGTGTTGTTCTCTGGCAAGAAAGAAGCATATAGGATTTTAATATATGTTAAAAATATGTTTAACTACACTATGAAATGAGTTTCAAATTGTCTGAGTAAAAGGAAGAGATGAAATTCTTTATCAAGGGATGGGGTTGACCAAAACTATATGAACATGCATGGTTCACTTAGCAAGTTTTTCTAAGTTGCAAACGCAACCAGAATAAATCTAAATTTTTCGGATGGTATTTTTGACTTCCAGCTCACACCTGCTGAGTCTGTCAGTTCTGATATCTGTCAGTATTTTGTCCCTCCCCAGCTTCAGTTCCTTGTTCCATCTTTGTGCATCAGAATCCATGTCACCTCCTTCTCTCTTCCTTTTCCCTTCAGACCTATGGGTGTTCCTAGATTTCTGGTGTTTTTCACTCTGAACTGCCGAACTGCCATTAGTTTCTCTTTAATCTAATGTCAATTCAGACACTGAAACCAAGCTCATAAATCCAACTATATCTGACTGATAGCTTGATAGAGTTTAGAGTAACTTACATTATTACAGTCTCCACCCAGCTCTTTGTGTAGCAGGAAGATGAGGCAGATGAACCTGAGGTGGTCCAGCACAGAGATAACACAAGTTTGGCAACTGGGCTTGTGTTTGAACTTCACGAGCTAGGAATTAATTCCTAGTTTATATAGTTGGGGAAAAAGTGTGAAGGCACATACCAAAACATTTTAGACCTTACCATAAATGAGAAAAGTTTTGTATATGACCTAACTAAACACTTTATTAGTTGTTCATTTTGGGGGTTGGATTATTATGAGCACATACACTTCCAGCCATTTAATGTTACAGAGGAGTCTGGTCTTTTGCCTCCTAACTCTTATATCTTCCTACCTCTAAATTATATTTCTTTGGAAAACTGCATGAAACCTGGCTCAGAGAGAAAATAAATATATGAAAAATGAGAAGAAAAAAAAAAGAAAAAAAAAAAAAGAAAAAAAAAAGAATAAGTTTAAATAAGAAAAAGAAGGTAAAAGATCAAATTAGCAAATTAGAACAATACTGAATGTCGAATGAGATATTAAGAAAAGATTTAATTGCATGTAAAATCTTTAACACTAACAATGATTTTAACTCAAGGTGCTATTTTCCACTCACTACCTGTGGTTCAGGATAAGGGGACAGAAATAAAATTAGGGAAAATGAACCTGGAGGAAATGACTGCCATATCCCAAATAAGATAATTCAAGATTAATTAAATAGTGTCTTGAGGCAAAAAGAACACAGCAATAGAATAGAGTTTGGATGAGCTCAATAACCTATAGGTTTCCCAAAATGTGTTTTTTGTAAGCACTCAAGAAATAGAACTTATTTCTAGCTTCAAGTGAGAAAGATGTTGAGTTGCATTTGATGCAAATGTTGCTGTTTTTAACTGCATTGTTCAGGAGTCTGGTTACAGGGCTTAAATATTACTTAGGCCTTGAGCTGAACAATTAATTCACAGTTAGCTATTTATCTGGCAAATTTTATTCTCTTCCATGCATGATTTTTCTATGAAGTGACTATGATTTTTCTCTAATTTATTCAGTATTTGAAATTATTATTCAGATAATTTATTTGAATAATTCTTGGTTGGTAAATTGTTTGGAAGATCATTTGAAATGATGTATGTTTAGCATATGTCCTTGAAAAAAACATTTCCCCTATAGGTCTTCATTGCTACTAAAAGATCTGTAATGCTTGTAAGCAGAGGTAAAAATATGGATTCAAATGTCTTTAGATGCTGTATATCTATAGAGATTTTTTCTCACTGTTTCACTGAATGTACTGATTTACCTCACCCAAGTAAACAGATTTTTGGTACTATTTTCTCTCATTTTTGTTGTAAAGTAACTCAGGGACACTCAGAATTTCATGGGAATTTTATGAAACTCATAGGGAAGACTTTAAACATGCCATCATGTAACATCATCAAAACAGTTCTTGGAAAGTAATCCAAAAAATCTATTGAGACATCTAATCTAGTGCTCATTGCATAAGGATAAAGCAAAAAAGGGAATTCTGTACAAAATAGAGTGGTCATCCTTTTTTTTTTTTCTTTTTTTTTTTTTTTTTTTTTTTTTTTTCCAAAACTGTGAAAGTTTGACACAGAAATCTGAATATTTGTGGAAGGAACAGATATAGACTGTATATTTCAATCTGGCTGAGGTTTCTTTTTCTGCATCATTAACAGCCTAGCCAAGGCCACGTTGTAGCATAGAGTGCTACATTTTTACAAATTTAATTAAAATTTCTGTAAGTGAAGCTTTAGTTAGTTTTAGTTAAAACTCATGGTTTTCTAAAACAACTAAAACACGTGAAACTAAGCAGTAAAACATCTAAGTCACTAAGGCATCTAAGACCTAGCTCCTGATCTGGACGTTCTCTTGATCTACGGTCAGTTCAGTTCAGTTCATGTACAAGATATGTTAAAAGTCACTGCTGATTGCATTATAATAATAAAAAAATACATTAAATTATTAAACTGTATTTTTATTTATACGTTGGAATGTATGTATCAACTTGAAACAGTACCAAAAAGATGTTTTAACATCTTCCTTCTTATCATTAATGTAATTTCCTCCTTTCTAGCCATGTCATACCACAAAAGAATCAGGAAAGTGTTTAGGCATCATCATCAGGAAAGTGTTTATACATCATCACACTGTTTAAACAAAACCATTATAATTCCACTGCATTATAACTCCACTGAATTATAACTCCACGCAGCATTCTCCACAGAGGCTACACCACAGGGGAGTTTTTTGTTTGTTTGTTTGTTTGTTTTTCTTTTGGCACAGGAAACCATGGGACTCAACTTTGTACAATCTTCAGTATTTCTCTACTTAGTTCTCAGCACAACTGTGTGGCAAAATCAACATGGCAGGTTATTCCTCACTGTATCAAAGCCTTCCTTTAGTATTCTACAGATTAATGTTCAGCATCTTCAACAACTTCTCTTGGTAAAGTTTTAGTCACTTTTCTTCAGTCATACTCTTGCAAAGCCTTTTCTGCTTTTTCTTTGTGTTATAGATGCAATTGTCAAAAACAGCAAAAGTGAATGAGAGACTATTAAAAAAAAAAAGTCTATAAAAGAGTTAAGAAATTGTCCTCTTCTTATGATTGAAATATATCTTCATGTAAGACCTGAATAGTATTTAAGTTCCGTTATACATTTCAGTGCAATAGTAAAATCACTATACAGTACAGATTCAGCAATCAATAGTTTAGCATACAGCTTTGACAAATTGTTTCTTCCTGCTTCCAATTTGTGTCTTAAACAGGAGTCTAGACCATGGAGTTCACTGTGTCTAAGTAA